AGGAACCGAAAAGGAATCCCCGAATTAATATCGAATTTGACGTGGCTGGCTATACTTATCAACGTGTTAAACAATTATTTTTTGAAAACTGTTTAAGTAGATGAGACGAACAAAAACACGTCAAATTCAGAACTTATTCGGAAAAATCATTCGGTAACTCTATCATTTTTTTTAATTTTTTTTATTATATATATATATATATATATATATATATATATATATATATAATGAGGATATTTTTTTTGTACTTAACCATCGCATAAATTATAAAGTTTAAACAAAATCAATTAATTTTATATCTTCAATTAGTCGTCTACAAAGGAAAAAAACCAAAAAAAAAAAAATAATAATAATTTACTTGTCCACCTGTATTTTATTTTATTTTTTATTATTATTGCAAATGCACAAAGCCCAAGTCATAAATGATGGTCCACATGTGTTGAACCTGGGAGAAAAATCGTCTTCATTCGTATCTCACTGGAACCAGTCCAGTGCTGGGCCCTCGACTGATGTGGCAAATGAGGTAAATTGGGTAGTCACTGTAGTTTTGCTTATACCATTTCTATACATACTCCTACTTCCTATACGCCCTTTCTGTACTCCATTTCCTTTGTGTATTTTATTTTAAAGTTAAAATTCCCCCCAAAACCAAAATTAAGGTTGGAGCCAAAACTGATCTGATATATGTATACAAATATATGCCTCTGCTTTACTCTATAAACCAAAAACACAGAATCGAAGCCTCTGCTCTGTAAAACAAAAACTTTCTTCTCAAACTGGTCAAAAACTCTCTGTTGTATGAACATAAAGATGAAGATACATTAGACACATAAAGATGAAGATTTATGAAGAGAAGGTCCCTGTTTAGACACATAAAGATTTTTGAAAAGAAGGACCCTGTTCAGAAGTTCGGTTCGAAAAAATCACCATACATTCCAGCAATAAGCTGAACTTCCGATCATCCCTTCCGACGAGAAGCTGAAGCTGCGATCATCCATTCCAACAAAAAGGTGAAGGATTCCGGCAAGAAGGTGAAGGTCCGATCATCCATTCCGATGATCAACTGGAGCTCCGATCAACCAGTCCGGCGAGAAGCTCTGATCATTATAAGTATTAGATTATTATTTTGAATTTCTTGTAACTTTATTCATAATGATATATCAAATCCGGTGGGGATTATTGGTAATCCAAAAATCTGAAAGCTGGGTTATTAGTCCTGATGAGTATGAATTATTCTTATTTTCAAGCAACCTGAGAATTAGGAAGCTTGTTGTTATGCGTATTTTATGTTCCTATTTATCTGTTTTAGCCTTTTTTTTCTTTTTCTGAATGAACCCTCTTAGTCATCACCGAACAAAGAAATTTTACAATTGTATATGCATATACTAGATTTTGAAGTTTGTTCTTGTGCCTATGATATGTCCATATTTATCTATTTTAGCCTTTGTGAAATAACTTTATTTGTAAATGAACTATATTAGTCATCAGTTATAATAAAAGTTTACGATTTTATATGCATATACCATTTTAAAGCTTGTTCTTGTGCCAATGTTATGTCCATATTCATCTGTTTTAGCTTTGTTCAATCCTAAACTTTATTACTTTTCAGTTTGAATAAAATTATAGAATAGTATTTGTATATCCCGAATATTGAAAGATGTGAGGTTATTTTTATGAAAGTGTTGACACATGTTATAGAAAAGTTGTGTTGTGAAGGTCAACATATGTCACATGTTATAAAACGGTTACATTAATGGCAATGCATTATAGTAGTGTAGAAGTCAATTATATGTGCATATGTTAGGTTTACCACCAATTGTGTGCATATATAGTGTACAGTTGTCGTATTTGAGATGTATTTGATCTGTTAACATATGGCACATGTTAGGAAATGGTAGCATGAATGGTAAAGCATTGTAGTAGTGTATAAGTAAATTTTATGTGGATATGTTAGGTGAAAGATGTGATATTATATTTATAAAACTGTTGACATATGTTATAAAAAAGTTGTGTTGTGAAGGTAAAATTATGTTTGCCAGAAATTGTTTGCATATCTATGTTAGATGTATTTGTTATGGCAACATATGCCACATGTTAGAAAAAAGTTCCATTAATGGTAATTCATTATAGTAGTGTATAAGTAAATTTTTAAGGATATGTTAGGTCAAATATGTGATATTATATTTATTAACTTGTTGACATATATTATATAAAAGTTGTGGTAAGAAAGTAAAATTATGTTTATCAATAATTGTTTTGACATCTAATGTACAGTTGAAGTTTGTTATATGAATTTGATTTGTTAACATATAGCACATGTTAGAAAATGGTTGCATGAATGCTAAAGCATTATAGTAGTGTAGAATTAAATTTTATGTGAATATATTAGCTAAAAGATGTGATATTCTATTTATGAAACTGTTGGCATATGTTATAAAAAGTTGTGATGTAACGGTCAAATTATGTTTGCCACCAATTGTTTGCATATCTAATTTAAGCTTGAATTATGTTAGATATATTTGTTATGGCAACATATGCCACATATTAGAAAAAAGTTTCATTAATGGTAATTCATTATAGTAGTGTAGAAGTAAATTTTTAATGGATATGTTATATCAAATATGTGATATTGTATTTATGAACTTGTTGACATATGTTATATAAAAGTTGTGGTGAGAAAGTCAAATTATGTTTGACACCAATTGTTTTGACATCTAATGTACAATTGAAGTTTGTTATATGAATATGATCTATTAACATATAGCACATGTTAGAAAATGGTTGCATGAATACTAAAGCATTATAGTAGTGTAGAAGTAAATTGTATGTAAATATGTTAGCTGAAAGATGTGATGTTCTATTTATGAAATTGTTGGCATATGTTATAAAAAAGTTGTAATGTAAAGGTCCAATTATGTTTGCCACCAATTATTTGCATATCTAATTTAAGTTTGAATTATGTTAGATATATTTGTTATGGCAACATATGCCACATGTTAGAAAAAAGTTTCATTAATGGTAATTCATTATAATAGTGTAGAAGTGAATTTTTAATGGATATGTTAGGTCAAATATGTGATGTTGTATTCCTGAACTTGTTGACATATGTTATATAAAATTTGTGACAAGAAAGTCAAATTATGGATGACACCATTTGTTTTGACATATAATGTGCAGTTGAAGTTTATTATATGAATTTGATTTGTTAATATATAGCACATGTTAGAAAATGGTTGTATGAATGCTAAAACATTATAGTACTGTAGAAGTAAATTTTATGTGAATATGTTAGCTGAAAGATGTGATGTTCTATTTATGAAACTGTTGGCGTATGTTATAAAAAAGTTGTGTTGTGAAGGTCAAATTATGCTTGCCACTAATTGTTTGCATATCTAATTTAAGCTTGAATTATGGTAGATGTATTTGTTATGACAACATATGCCACATGTTAGAAAAAAGTTCATTTAATGGTAATTCATTAATGTAATGTAGAAGTAAATTTTTAATGAATATGTTAGGTTAAATATGTGATGTTGTATTTCTGAACCTATTGACATATGTTATAAAAGTTATGGTGAGAAAGTCAAATTATGTTTGACACCATTTGTTTTGACATCTAATGTACAGTTGAAGTTTGTTATATGAATTTGATCTGTTAACATATAACACATGTTAGAAAATTCTTGCATGAATGCTAAAGTATTATAATAGTGTAGAAGTAAATTTTATGTGAATTTGTTAACTGAAAGATGTAATGTTCTATTTATGAAACTGTTGACATATGTTATAAAAAGTTGTGCTGTGAAGGTTAAATTATGTTTGCCACCAATTGTTTGCATATGTTGTGTGTACACTTGAATTTTGTTACATTTATTTCTTATGGTAACATATGACATATGTTACAAATTTCTTGGCTAGATATTAATGCATTATAGTAGTGTACAGCTAAATTTTATATAGATTTGTTATGTTAAATATGTGATGTTGTACTTCTGAAACTGGTGACATATGTTATAGAAAGGTTGTGCTGTGAATGTAAAATTATATTTGCAACCAATTATTTGCATATCTAGTGTACACTTGAATTGTGTTAGATTTATTTGTTATGGTAACATATATCAGATGTTAGAAAGTTCTTGTTTCAATGTTAATGCATTATAGTAGTGTAGAATTAAATTTTCAGTGGATATATTAGGTAAAAGATGTGATGTTGTATTTATGTATTTTACAGCAGTGTACAATTGTAGTATGTTGCATGTATTTGTTATGGAACATGTTACAAAATGGATGCATAAATGGTAATGCATTATAGTAATATAGAAGTAAAATTGATGTGTATATATTAGGTGAAATGTGTGATACTGTATTTATGAAATGGTTGACATATGTTATGCAAAAGTTGTGCTAGCAAAGTAATTTTATATTTGTCACCAATTGTTTGCATATCTAGTGTACAATTGAAACATGTTAGATATATTTGTGATGAAAACATATGGTACATGTGATAAAGTTCTTGCATGAATGGTAATGCATGATATTAGTGTAGAAGTAAATTTGATGTGGATATGTTAGGTGAATGATGTGATATTGTATTTATAAAAGTGTTGACATATGTCATATAAATATTGTGCTGTTAAGATATACTTACCTTTTTGTCATGTTTTTATAGGTCTGCTATTCTAGTTATGGTTATTGAAGAGGCAATTATTAACATTGAAGAGACAGATAACGATTCAGTTTGTGAAATTCCTGAAGTAGAATGGATACCCCGCGTTGATATGCAATTTGATTCCGAAGAAGCGGCTTATGATTTTTACAATGAATATGGTGGCAGAGTGGGTTTTAGTATTCAGAAAGAGTACAAAAACAACAGTCGAAAGGATGGAAAAGTAACATCTAGAAATTTTGTGTGTAGCAAGGAGGGAAAAAGAGGTCAAGACAAGAGGGACAGGAAAACAAAGAATTGAAGGGCTGAAACACGCACCGATTGTCGTGTACGTATGCTTATTGCCTTTAATGTGGAATTTGGTAAGTACATTGTCAAAGATTTTAAAGATACTCACATCCAACCCCTCATCAGTGAGGATTATGCCCATATGATGCCGTCGCAGCGAAAAATCAAGTCAGTGCAAGCTATTGATGTGGAGTTGGCTGCCGATTGCGGAATACCCGTTTGTAAAGCCTTTGAGTTAAGTTTGAGATAAGCTGGTAGTAGAGAAAGTATTGGCTTCACGAAGGTTAATGTACAAAATTATATTCGGACGAGAAGACAGAACGACCTTGAACTTGGTGATGCGAATTGGTTGATGAATTATTTCCAGACACAATGTTTGAAAGATCCATCATTCTTCTATGCTGTGCAATTGGATAGCAGTGCAATGATAACAAATATATTTTGGGTCGATTCAAAAATGATATCAGATTATGTGCATTTTGGAGATGTGTTGACATTTGATACCACGTACAAACTTGTTCATGGGAATCGGCCTTTTGTAGTTTTTCTCGGTTTGAACCATCACAGGGAGACAGTTGTGTTTGGAGCAGCTTTCATGTATGATGAGACAACTAATCTTTTGGTTGGTTATTCAATACATTCTTGAATGCCATGTCCTATAAAGCACCAGGGACGATCTTGACTGACCAAGACACTGCAATGGCAAAGGCATTAGTCCAGGTTATGCCCGATACAAAACACCGTCTATGTACATGGCACCTAATGCAAATGCCCAAAAGCATCTTGGGAATTTGTCTGTTGGTGGAAAAGGCATAAAAAGTGTGATATCAAAATTAATATACGAGATTGAGGGTGAGGAACAATTCTTAGTGGAATGGGCGTGGATGGAAAAGGAATTTGCTGTAGAGAATAACAAGTAGTTGGCCAATTTATTTAGTTTGAAACATGTATGGGCCAGGGCATACGTCAAACATGTGTGGTCGACTGGTATGCATACTACACAGCTTAGTGAGAGCTTCAATAAGTGCTTAAAATAGTACTTAGCAAGACAATATGCACTGCTAGAGTTTTTCAAGCATTTTGAAACGTTTTTGTTCGACATGCGATACAAGGAGTATGCAGCTGAGTATAACTTGCTACATAAGATACCTCGGCTGAAAACAAGGTCTCCTATTTTAGATCAAGTCGGATGTCTGTACACTACTAACATCTTTGACCTTTTTCAGGAACAGTTAATAGTAGCTGGCATGAGTGAAAATGTCCGTAAGTGTAACGACCTTGGTAATGGGGTTTTTTCATATGAAATTGCAGTTTATAATGATAACTTCCATCGGCTCGTCACAAGGACACATGACGACTTATTAGTATGTTAATGTGGAAATTTAAAATGGAGGGTATCATGTGCAGGGTATCATGTGCAGCCACACTCTGAAAGTCCTTAAAGATATGATGTATGCCAATGAAATACCCAGCCGCTATATTTTAAAAAGGTGGACCAGAAATGGCGTCTCCTATTTTAGATCAAGTCGGATGTCTATACACTACTAACATCTTTGACCTTTTTCAAGAACAGTTAATAGTAGCTGGCATGAGTGAAAATGTTCGTAAGTGCAACGACCTTGGTAACTGGGTTTTTTCATATGAAGTTGCGGTTTATAATGATAACTTCCATCAGCTCGTCACAAAGACACATGACGACTTATTATCATGTTCATGTGAAAAATTTAAAATGGAGGGTATCATGTGCAACCACACTTTGAAAGTCCTTAAAGATGTGATGTATGCCAATGAAATACCCAGCCGCTATATTTTAAAAAGGTGGACCAGAAATGGCAAGGACGGCAGGGTGGAAGACATACTTCGCAGCAATGTTATTACAGATCCTAGATTGGAAATTAAGCGACGACACAGGATCCTTTGTCGTTATCTAATTGAAATTTCTGCTATTGCATCAGTGAGCAAGGAGGGACTCAACAATGTTTTGGTACAAGTGAAAAGTTTGAAGAAGATTGCTCAAGGAGTAGAACCTAATCCTAGGCCTGCATGTAACCAAACCGCATGAGCCAATGCCATGGGAAATAGCTTTACAAATATAGAGCTGAATAGTCATGCGCAAACCATAGAAGGATTGGCTCTGAAAGGGATTACCACGAAAGATACATTGAAAGGAAGAAGGTGTAAGCTCATACCTACTTTGGAAAGAGCCATTGCGAAGAAGAGAAAGGTCGTTGTGCCAGGTTGCAGTCCTACTACGACAACCCCTACGTATATTTTAAACAATGTGAGTCTTGTTTTGTGTTTTATATATCCCCTACTTGATCTATAGTCTAACATACTGATGAATTGATGATTTTTGGTGAAGGGTGTTGAAATACAAGTAGAGTTTTTCTGCTCCGATGAATGTTATATGCCACCATGTTCAACACAGGGCCACGATTGGGATAACAGTCCGGTTACTTATTTTGGTCAGCCCATGACTCCATGAAATAACCAGGTATGTGGTTTCATCTAAATTAATTAAAGTCATGAAATTATTTAAGAAATTTAACGACCTCTTTTTGCATGTATGTGATATAAAAAGGGAGTTGACATAGATGTTGTACGTGACACAAATTTATCGCCAATGATCCAAATGCTAAACATGAATTCTACATTTGACCAACAAGGGTTCCAGGAATTACCATGATATGGTAGAATGGTATAAAAAGTGTACTTCATTGCGATTTCATCGTTATTGCCATGGTTGCACTTCCTTTATTTTGCTGAGTGCTCAAGATATTGTAGGGGTATCACTGTACATGATATCTTATACTCCAGTAAATTTCTTACGTTAAAAATATTGTATTTAAGTTAGAACTGCACTTCCCTTTTTATAGTGAACACTTTATATTTGACCATTTATTCTTTGTCTTCATTGCAATTGAATGGTTTGTTTAGAACATTAAAGACCCTACTTATTGATGAGCGCTGAAAAGTGCGTATTTAAACCCCTTAAGCTTAACCATTCTAGTACCTTTATCTATCTTACTTTACCGTTTTAGATTGATTTCGTATTATTTCCATTTTCAGGCACTTATCCCGAAAATAAGCTAACTCAGCCAAATAAGAGCTTAATTGAAGCAATTCTGGGATTAAACAAAGAAAGGAACAAAGTGGAGAAAGAAAGAAGCAAATGAAGCCAAAGGTGAGAAGCAGCAAAGTTCGATCGATCCAACTTCAAGGTTCGATCGATCGAACACTGATCGATCTTAGTACTTCAAGATAGATCCAAGCCTTGGCCCAGAGCAAAAAGTCCAAAGTTTGATCAATCCAACACCACCCTTCGATCGATCGAACACTTTTGTCCTTATTCAAATGATTGATCCTATCTACAGCTGTACCACCCACTAACCACTTTTGTCCTTTTCCTAAAAATATCTCCCAAAATATCTCGGATTTGTCTTTTCCCAAAAAACTCAACCAGTTGGATCGATCCAGGTTAGGTTTGATGGATCTCAGCCAGTTCGATCGATCCAAGTCCAAGGTTCGATTGATCAAACTTCCTCTAATGCGAAAAAGTTAAATTTCCATCTCATTGAAAATTGTCCTTTATCCAATCATTAGGGAATATTGTGTGTACGACCCTAGCTCATTTTTGGGTGTCATTTGACCTACCTATATAAGGATAAGGATTGCTTTTTACAAAGGGAGCCAATATCATTTTCATATCATCTCTTGGAGAGCAAGCTTAGAGGAGGAGGAGGAGGCTAGAAACACCATTGGAGTTCTTCATCAACAAGGAGCAGATTTCTTCTATGGAGTTAGCCCTTGAGGGTTGGAGCAACATCACCATGAGTGGCTAGACATCCTCTTGGGGCTAGAGTTAGCCCCAAACATGCTTTCTATATCTTAATCGTGTGTATTATTGAGGGATTAGTGTTGTAATTGATGTTTTGACACTTTGATATATATAGATCTTGATTATTCAATGATTTATGTGGTTAAATACTTTTAATTGATCATTTCATTCTATCAATTCGTCTATGTATGCTAGAATAGATGTTCATATGCTTTTCTCTAGATTTAGTGTTATTGATGCATGTCTATGTGTATTGATGCTATAGATTTAGAGATTGTCAAAACATAGTGCTTAATGGAATGCTCTTGTAATATTCTTGATGGTTCATACTTATTCCTTGATGGATTGTGCCTCTCCCCTAGTTTATTTTCATGCTAGTAGTGTAGATGTAGTGTAGTTGTAGTGTAGTGTTAAATGGAAGGACAATCCATGCTTGTTGTTTGATGATCCAAGCTTTTGAATACAAGTAACATATGTCTCTAACCTTGTGTTGTATTTAGATTGTGAGCTTAATGAAAGGTTTAATAACTTGTTTTGATCTATTGTGCCTTTCACATATTGTTTAAACAATATATGCTTCATTGCTTAGATATATTGTGCCTTTCACATGATGTTTAGACAATACATGCTTAACTAGTCATCCTTGCTTGTTGAATCAACCAAACACACACACACACCAAAATTGCAACACACCATTTGCCCTCATTAGTCATTTGTCAATGGTATAGAAATGCATTGCTTGGTGGTGATCTCTAAATCCCAAGATCTCTCTATCTCTTACTTACTCTTAATTGCATTCTTTTGTTATCACTTAGTTTAATTTAGTTGTTCTCTAATTAACCAACCAACCAATTGTTTGATCACTCGACCTACTAGCCCTAATAGCGATTCCACAACCTTGTTCAGTCCTCATAATCCCTTGGGACGATCCCTACTCGCCCTAGCTATATTTATAGTGAAAGGTAGTAGTGGCTTTTATAAATGTAAAACTCTTGGCCCTCGCCTTAAAATCCACACTCTCTTAAGCTTGACGGTAGTGTGGCAGACCGGTCAGTTTTTTGCTCCGTTGCCGGGGATTGATTGATTTGATTTGGCAACATTAGATGTATGGAATCAATTAGGATTAGTACTCTTTTGATCGTGTCTTTACTTTATTTTTATTTTTCTTTTTGGTTACTTATTGTGTTGTTCTTACTTGACTAGGTGCATTGTTGGAGAGGAAGTAAGCAAAGGAGCATTCAAGCTAAGCAAGCAAGAAAAAAAAACTAAAAATTTAAAAAATTTGCTAAGCTAAGCTTTAAATTTGGAGTTGAAGTGCTAAAGAACCTTTGTGAGACTTTCTTTACTCAATCCCTTAGTTAAATCGTTGGCCTGCGTAGAAGCTTATTTTTATTTTTTTTTGCAACATTATTGTTAAAGCATGGGAGTATGAATTAAGTATTTGTGGAAGAAGTCTAATTGCATTGTTGTGAAGGCATAGTGTCTGTCATTCTTTATGATTGTTATGTTTTGCATTGTGCATGCATGGACGTCGTTCATTGAGACCCACTCTTGTCCCTCTTGATTTGCATCTTGAATCCATCATTAGAAATCCTAGGGGAAGAGGAAGTTCAAATAGAACCAATAGATCAATGGATGACTATAATGATGATCATGTTGAGGACCTTGGTCACATAGACCAACAAGGTATTCTTCATCCTAATGTGCACAATGAGAACATACAACTACCATTAGGCATGCCTAGGCCATTCATTCACCAACCACCACAACAACAAAGCCAAGTTCCATATGGAATGCCTAGGCCAATG